GCGTCAGAAGTGTGGAGGACACCCCGCCCCTCGCTACTGTCGCCGAGGTTGACACGGTCCACGCTGCCCTCGACGACGACATCAGCGCAATCGGTCAAGCTGTGACCGACGTGGATTCTCGCTGCTCCGCTCTCGAGGTAACCACCACAAGCCGCAAGCCCACGAGCAGCTGGGTTTTGCCCGTTGTCTGCCTCTTGGCAGTGGTCAGTCTCTGCGGGGTCCGCGCTTACGCCGATGCGAAGGAGACGACATTCTTTGGCTGGCTCAAGGCGCTAGACGAGCTTCCAGATTACCTCGTTAGGTTCTGGAACGGGCCAACCCCAACGCCCACCCTCGCACAGCTCCTCAAGAACGCAGTGCTGGACATTGTTGGGAAGGCCCCGAGCCCCACGCCAGCCGTGACCTTCTCGTCCCTGACAAAGGCCACGCTGACTCGCCTCATGGAGCACACTGCCCCTCGCGTTCTAGCCGTCCGCGATTCCCTTCGCCCTCTCGTGGAGAAGACGATCTCTCGCGCGAGCGGTCACTTCGTACACTGTGTGGAGATCAGTGCGCCACGCCTTCGCACCGCCCATGATCTTCTTCGCCCTCTCGTGGAGAAGACGGCTTCTCGCGCGAGCGCTCACTTCGTCCACTGTGTGGAGATCAGCGCTCCTCTCCTTTCCGCATTCGTTCGCCCTTTCGTGGAGAGTGTCCGCTCTTGGGCAGCAGTGGCAAATGCTCACTGGATGAGCATTGGCCTTTGGCTTCATCGCCACGTCTAATTCAGACGTTGCGATGCCGATATCCACCATCACCTTCGTTTGAAGTCTCTTCGCCAGCAACGTTGCCAATCTCTCATCACCACACTCATTCGAAGTCTCTTCGCTGGCCAAGGCGTCCAAGCAGTGGACCGTCCGTCTGCGCATGGTCCAAATGACACTCGAACCTCCCAAGCATCACAGTCCATCTCCGACGACTCCACGCAAGTCCACCCTACGTTCATCAAGGCCATCATCTGTCACACAGCACCGGCATGCTGGGGATGCTCATCGTGGGTGCTCAGCAGCAGGACTCGTCGAACGGGGATGCAAGGACGAACAGGGATTGGGTAAGTCACTTGAATTGTGGAGTAGCTGACTAAGCCTGTGCGAACAGACCGGGGAGTAGGGCTCTGTGTTCGTCAAAGAGGTGTGACAGCAAGGAAGGAGGGGCAGAGTACGGCGGCCTATGGCCATGCTATTGGTAAGTGACACACTCGTGCGCAGTGCGGTGACCGGACGAGCAGAGTCTGATACTACTTTGTCCTGCACAGTGTGTACGCGGTTTTGAGGCAGGCGCATCATTGGAGGCACCCTGAAGACATCAGCATTCGAAGAGACACGGTGACATCAGCAGCAAATGTAAGTCTATGTAGCCATCCTCACTCGCTCCCTGGTATCTCAAGCTGAAATCTTGCCTCGAACACACCCACATACCACTCTGCTCGCTACGGCTGCAAAGGCCAAGTCACGGTGGTGACTTGGCCTTTGCAGCCAGATAGATTGTGTTGCCAATGCTGACTTTCCGCCTCTCACAGGGTGCCTCAATCAGCCTGCCTCCCGCCTCAAGTTCATGTCCAAACTGCACAACCCCCTTCTTTGCCGTCCCTCTGACAGCACATCCCATACCCCGGCCTGCGAGCATAGGTGAGGAAGGTGAAACAACGCAGCATTGCTGTGATGGTACCCTTTCCAGGGGTACGGTGACCTCTGCCCTTGAACTTAGTAGTCTGCGGTCTGCCCTAGTAGGTGTCTCTTTGCTAATGACCTATCCACAACTAGATGAGCTACCCGGCATTGCTGGTCGTGGACGAGATGGTCCAAACGGGACGTGCAAGATGAGGAGATGAATGGAAGGAATAGGACGGGACGAGATGTCAACGTGGCCCAGATCTTGTTCGCCGTTCGCCAATCGACAACACCTCG